TTAAACTCACCTGTGTGAAAACATCCTCTGCTGCCGTATGAAAGCTCGTCTCTGATTGGCTCTCCTGGTTCCAGATGAATGACGTGCAGCTGTTGAAGGAGTTGGGTCCAGGTCCAGGTCAGATCAGCGTAATCCAGCAGCTCCTGGATCAGGTACGACCCTCTGCAGCCAATCAGTAGCCTCCTTAGGAGCGGGCTGACGTGACTCTAAGACACCTGTTTGATACCAGAACGGCTATTTCATCCATTTTATCTTCTCCTTGACTTCTGTCTGTTTGTTTCCTCGTTCACCACCAGGGGGCGGACCCCTCCTGCTGCGACAGCGACGGCCGACACGCCCTGGCAGTTGCCGTGGTGAACGGTCACCACGATGCACTTCCTGTTTTAGTGCAGAGAGGAGCGGACGTGGACCAGCAGTCGGGACGGTAAGAGGAAAAACAACTTCAAACAAATATAAACATTTATACCCATTTAAAACACATAGAAGGTAAAGGTGTGCTGACTCCTCCCCCTCCTCAGGATGAAGAACACAGCTCTGCATGAAGCTGCAGGTCGGGGCTCTGATGGTCTGCCGTGTGCTAAAGTCCTGCTCAGGTACGACTCACCTGAGTATCTTCTGTCTTGATGACATGTTTCAGAATAATTCTCCGGCAGCAGGAAGTGGATTCAGCCTTTTGTTTGAAAGTGAGGCCAAAACGGAAGTGTCTTAAAACTGCATTTTCAAAGTGCCATAGAAGTTTATGATAAAATGTTCCTACTTGTCAGTTTATTTATACCGTCAGTGAACTTTCCCCTGATGAGTTTCTCAATCTGTAGTTTCAAGTCTTCTTTAACACAACATGATGTTCATTTAGTAAATTATGGTCCCATTTAGAGAGACTAGAAAGAGGGGCGGGGTTTAAGGCGGGGCTACCTGGGATGATCAGTCAATACCATGGCAACATGAAAGCGTTTGGTTGGACTACAGGAAGAGATGGCTGTTTATGCTTTCAGTAAGAACGTTTAATGCAAGGAAGTGACCATATATGGACGAGACCCTCTCCTGTCCTAATATGGTCACTTATGGCCGTTTAAAAATGGACGCCTCCATCTAAAAAAAGAAGCTTACAAAGCAATGAGTGACGTCCAAATATCTTACAGTCGTAACAGCAGTTGCTCCTCCCGCCTTTCTGACATCATCATCATCCTCGCCACGCTCTTTTTCAGCTGTAAGGCGAGCATGAGGAGGAGAAACGCCGGCGGTCAGACGGCGTACGACGTGGCGGTGAGCTCCGGCTGTAACCACATGGTGTCTCTGCTGGCCGCTCAGACCGGACTGGACCTGCTGGGCAAACTGGGAAAACCTAAACTGAACCTGGACGTGTTCTGAACACAGATCTTCTCTCAACACGAGGATCTGAAAACAAACGATTACATGTCAATAAAATCTGTAACTCGCTGAACGTCGTCTCCAGAGTTTTTTAGTTTCATTTCTCTTCTTCTGTGGTGGATAAATGCAGCAACTATAAACCGGCTGTTTTATCTCCAGACCTCGTCCTCATCTTCATGTTTATCAAACTAATGAATTCTGATTTGGCTGCACATGAAACAAGTTCAAACATTTTAACTTTTCAGCACAAGCCGCGGCGTCACAGCGCTGGTCAAAGTCGCTTCTGGCTGAAGCAGCCAATCAGATCAAGTCGGATTCTTTAACCTCCTCTTTTTAAAACATTCTCCGTCCTCGTCGAGGAGCAAAGCAACATCGAGCGCTCTACGTTTGACCGAATGCTTTTTTTCCCACCACAGACGGTCTCAGCTGTGTTTCCACCTGGATTTGGAAGGCCCGCACCTAGGGGGGCGCGTCTGGGATTGGGCCCCCCTTAAACCCTAAGAGCCCCCCCTGTTGGACACAGGGGGGGCTCTTAGGGGGGGCTCCTGTTGGACACAGGGGGGGCTCTTAGGGTTTAAGGGGGGCCCAATCACAACATGAAGAGAAGCAGGTACATTTTCATAAACACTCGCAGGTCAAGCGGGGGACTCGTCTCTACCACACGAACACTCGCTGCGAGTTTTGCTAAGCCCCGCCCCCAGAAAATGTACTGCACATTAAATACGGTCGGATGTGTTTCTTAGCAAAACTCTCGGACCAGGAAGCGTGCGCAGTTATGACCTTCTTACTGTAGGTTCCTCGCAGGTATATCTATCATCCCCGTGAGTTTGGCGCGTTGTGATTTGATGACCATAACTTGGCCTCAGCAGGAAGTAAAGACTCGGTGTTTACAATGAAAACGTCCAAAACCAAATAAAGGTGAAAGAAAAACAGATTTACTGTTAAACTGAACAAAAGTACAGATTCAACAAACTTTATAATCCTCTGAACGCACACTAGAAACGAGATCAAACACGACTTCAGGAGAGAAACAAACATGGAGGACGATGGACGAGGTGAGACATTATAAAGACTCTTGTGTTGTTGCCATAGTAACACAAGCTGCTCTTCTTCAGTATTTCCCCCTCGGATCGGGGCTCGGTTGTGTTTATGTTCACTGTCATGTTTGTGAGCTGTGACGCAGCATCCGGTCTGCTCGCTCTCATTGGCTGCTTCAGGTCATCCAATAAGAAGATGCCAGATCGAGGAGCAGGTAAATAATCACGATGACATCACACAGCTGAGACTGCTGGTTCAGTATCTGGACTGATCAGGCTTCAGTGGGGGGTGGGGGGGGTGGGGCGACCTCCAGCTGGTCCCGAGGGTCCTAACCTGTTGGACTCATCGTCTGAGTCGGAGGAAGAAGGCGTGTCTGCACTCGGCGCTGTCCACAGGGTAATATTTATCGTAAAAGTCCAGGATGTACTCCTCCGCCTTGAAGCCAAACTTCTGGTAGAGCAGCATGGCGGGGTTACTGGCCGACACGTGCAGGGTCACGTCTTTTCCCATACACGTCTGAAAACACAGCAGGAGAGGAAAGTTAGGACGCAATCCCTACCGTGCCCCTAAAGGTATCAACGGTGTTTGACCTCTGACCCCTCACCTGGATCAGATGGTAGATCATGAAGGTCCCGACGCCGGCCCTCCTCCACTCGGGGTGGACCAGCAGGAAGGAGATGTACGCCTCGTTGTACTTCACGTCGGGCACCATGAAACCAAAACCAATCACCACTTTCTTATAGAGCGCCACCACGCTGAAGTCCGGGTACTGCAGGCACTCTGACAGGTCCACACCTGTGGGGGGGGGGGGGGGGGGGGTCAGGGGGAGGAGTTAAGTTACTGTCAGGTTTATAGAGACTCACAGTGATGGTGAGTAGGAGACGTTGACGTACCTGGCCAGAAGCCGTCATGACACATGGCGTTGACGGAGGGGATGTGGTTGGGCCGCACGTAGCAGTAGTCGATGGGGGCGTTGGCTTCAGGGAGCCAATCAGGGTCGTTCCTGTGAGGGCGAGCTCTGATCTCTGACAGCAACCTCATCTTGGGCGGACGACTCTCATAATCCCTCCTGAGGAGCGCACACACACACGACAGGACACGATCAGACTCACTGCGGTCTCTCTGCAGACCAGACCCCCCCAGACCCCCCAGACTCCCCTAGACCCCCCAGACCCCCCCAGACCCCCCCTTATTGATCCGCCCCTGTTCCCCGTTCTGTACCCGGTGGAACTCGTTACCTGATGAAGGGTTTGAGGATGCGCGAGGTGTACGGACTCTTGATGCTCTGGTCCAAACTTCCTTCAGCGCCCATCAGACGATTCCAGAAGGTCAGCGAGTTCTGCTGCACGCCACGTCTGCTCGCCAACTTGGTCTGCACACAAACATGACCACGACTCACTCTCTCGCCGTGTCCACGACTTACAAAAGACGGTCTGATGTTTATACAAACTTACCTGGAAGCGGTCGAGAATCCGCAGCTCCTGACTGTTGGTGCAGTACTTTCCCATGATTCCCCCCCTCGTAAGAAGCCCCGCCTCCTGAGCGCCGTAGATCCCGCCCACCAGGCTGAGGGTGGCGCTGACAGCTCGGTCGACGTCCAGCAGGGGGAGCCCTCTCTGCCTCTTGGCCTGGCGGACCAGCAGCTTCCTGTGGAGGCGTTTGGCCTGCGGGGTGACGGCGAGGGCAAGCGGGCAGGCGTCCAGCCGCCGCAGCAGCATCCTCTCCTCGTACAGACTGAGCGAGGTGAAGCGAGGCGTCTGTGAGACTCCGCCCACTACGTCCGATTTCTCATTGTGAGTTATTCTCCTTCTCTCCGCCCCCCCGGCGCCGACACCCACCGCAGAGAGAGACGGACCCTCGCCACGCCCCACCGGCTCCTCGAAGTCGTCCTCACGTCCACGCCGTTCATCGTCCTCGCTGTCCGCTTCACGTTTAATGTGAGGCGGCGCTGGGCGGAGCTTCTTGCGCGCGGCGAGGTGGGCGGAGGGAGGTGGAAGGTACTCCATCCCTGGGTCAATCATTCCGTCCGCCTCCATCTCCTCGTCATCTGGAGGTCGAAGAAGACATTTTTTAAAAACCTTCTTCTGACCATTAATATTTTAATTCTTTAAAAAAAACATGTGGGCGTTTCTCACCGTGGAACAGGGCCTGCGGCGGCATGGCGTCTGGGATGAGGTCGGCCTCTGACAAAAGGCTGGGCGTGGCCGAGTGAGAGGCTGGCGTCCCGGGGGCGGAGAAGTCAGGTGAAGGCGACGGAGACGGGCTGGTGAGCGGCGTGCGGTCTGACGAGCTCAGCGAGGAGAAATCTATGACTTCCCCTTTCTCCAGGACCAGGTCTGGACGCCGTCCAGCACCCCCGCCGCGAGCGCCGCCCAGTTTGACGGGCGTGGAGGAGGCGCTGCGGTCGGTGTATCCTCCGATCGCCTCCTTCTGAGCCCGACGGATGTCTTTGGCCTCCTGCGTGCGAGAGCGTTTCTCCTTCAGCTGTATGGCGCTCTCCACCGGGTTCCTCGCGCCGCGTTTCCTCAGACCCTCCACGGTGATGATCGGGTCCACGGACGGTTTGGTCACTGCAGGAGAAGAAGAAGAAAACGTCAGCTCGCTGTTACCTGTAGGAGAACACCTGATGGATGCAGGGGGTGTTCACACCTTTAGCCTTGGCGGTGGATTTGTCCACATCGGGTCTCAGGGTTGGCGGTCTGTTCTGGACCAGCTTCCACCAGCCGGGCTCCCCGAACTCCTGAGCGCCGGAGCGGAAGAAGGTGGGACTACCGACGGAGAGACAGCCAGCGACCGTGCTCCACCACGTCGACGTCTTCTTCCTGAACACATTAAGAGATCCCAGTTAGATCAGGACCAGGTCCCAGTCTGAAGACCTGTTAGGATCAGGACCAGGTCCCAGTCTGAAGACCTGTTAGGATCAGGACCAGGTCTCAGTCTGATGACCTGTTAGGATCAGGACCAGGTCCCAGTCTGAAGACCTGTTAGGATCAGGACCAGGTCCCAGTCTGAAGACCTGTTAGGATCAGGACCAGGTCTCAGTCTGAAGACCTGTTAGGATCAGGACCAGGTCCCAGTCTGAAGACCTGTTAGGATCAGGACCAGGTCTCAGTCTGAAGACCTGTTAGGATCAGGACCAGGTCTCAGTCTGATGACCTGTTAGGATCAGGATCAGGACCAGGTCTCAGTCTGAAGACCTGTTAGGATCAGAACCACTTTATTATCAAAAGTATAAAGAGACCTCGTTCCCAGCAGGAAGTTCCAGTGTCGGCCAATGAAAGCACAGATGTCCTCCTTCCACCTGAAGTAACCTTGACGACCGGTCCCCTCCAGAGACAGGTTATACATGGCCAACATCACCACCTGCAGACAGGTAACAAATACACAGGTGTCCTTTACTGACCTCTCTGTTTGAGTCACAGAGAAGTGTTGTTGTTTATATCACCTGCTGCCAGGTGAGTCTCATCCTCTCAAAGAGCTCCTTGGCCTCCTCGGAGCAGTCGCAGCAGGTGAACTTAAAGAAGTTATCTCCTTTCAGGTAGCTGGGCTGCTCCCCACGGAGCTGAGCTGAAGAAACAGGAAGAGGAAGAGGAGGAGGAGGAGGAAGAGGAGAATGAAGAAGAGGAGGAGGAAGAAGAAGAGAGAGAGGAGGAGGAAGAGGAGAAGGAAGAGGAAGAGGAGGAGGAAGAAGAGGAGGAGGAAGAGGAGAAGGAAGAGGAAGAGGAGGAGGAAGAAGAGGAGGAGGAAGAGGAGAAGGAAGAAGAGGAGGAGGAGGAGAAGGAAGACGAGAAGGAAGAGGAGGAGGAAGAAGAGGAGGAGGAGGAGGAGGAGGAGAAGGAAGAGGAGGAGGAAGAGGAGAAGGAAGAGGAAGAGGAGGAGGAAGAGGAAGAGGAGAAGGAGGAGGAGGAAGAGGAGAAGGAAGAGGAAGAGGAGAAGGAAGAAGAGAGAGAGGAGGAGGAGGAAGAAGAGAAGGAAGAAGAGGAGGAGGAAGAGGAGAAGGAAGAAGAGGAGGAAGAGGAGGAGGAGGAGGAAGAA